AAGAAAATCTGAAAATCATATAAAATTCATAAAGTAGTATAATATTATTGTTGAGCAAAATAAAACAAGCAACAATATGAGTTGAGAGGGATGAAAACTTATACATCATGATTTATGATGAACCAAGAACCGAAATTTGATCGCGTATATTATGCTTGCAGTGCACGCAGCAGCTGCATTCAAATATCAAATTTTGGTCTCTCGGTATACTAGGGTAAAAAAAACATTCATGTAGCTGCCACCAGAGCATCAAAGTTTCTGCATTCCCACAAGCAGCATCGCTCGATTGACAAAAAAACCAGTCATCTCTAGGTGATTATGTCTTTTTTTCTAATTGGGCCATTGGAGGTTTCAAGTACGGCACAGTTTTCACTGTCTAATCGTCAAATTAAAATTTTCGTCCGCGTCATTAAGTGTATTTAAATACTTCGAGTTGACTATAACCTTGTGGGCATGATTAATTTGATCTAGCATAATGAGCGCGTGCTGGTATGAAGTATATTGTCGGACGTTGTAAAAATAGACTTCTGGTAGATCTCACTTGCGCCGTTCGATTCCACGTATATTTTCGTTTCCGATCAAGTAAGTTCTCTGCACGAGCTCAAGTTTATACAGTATACTGTTGCTGATCGATAACACATATAGACCATAAATTGCACCCACCATGAACTTTTTGTTTCTTATAAATTTATAAATACTACTTTGTGCACGTGATATGGTATATACGTCCCAATATAGAAACTCCGATAACATTTGTCTATAGCGAAATAATTTTTGTGCTTTCTTTTAATTCAAAGCTTAATTTTTCACCGAATCGATCGAATTCTGCGTTCATATTATTGTTTTTAATACATGAATCGTAGTTAAACAATCTGTAAAATGGCCTATAATTTGGATATCTAAATGAACTATAAGGTCCCGAATAGACCTCAGAATTTTGATAAATTTTATCATAGCTCAGATAAAGAAATAATCGAGAAAAACCCACCTCGTTTTTATTGTCGAAAAGATGCGAGTCGTGTGGTTTTTCTCGTTGCTTCGTGTCGATCTCTTGTTCGTTTATCGACTCCGTTATCTGTTGCTGCTGGGCTTCTCCACGATTCGAGCTCGCCGAACGCCGTTGGTCTCGATGGTTTTTTAGCTCGCCGTTCCGACGATGTTGACGCTCGAGCTGTTTCCTAATAAGTCCAATCGATATATTTATTTTGTATCGTGTTGTACATTACAGCGCGTGTGTGTCTGCGTAACGCGTCCGAAATACGTTGCCTCTCCCGCGAATCGGACCGTGCCCCTTAATGACCGAGTGACTTTTTTCACGTGCGAAGGCCGTGAATGTAATTTCATATATATAGCGATCAATTTTTATTGACATTAGCGTAATTTCAATTCTGTATTTCTCGATTAATATCTTTATCATTCGCGTGAAATTTAGTTCAGGATCATATTTATAGGGCATGGCTTACTTGAAGAATTCCGAGTCATGGAAGCACTTTTCGAGGCTGGGGGCCCGACGCAAACTCGTCGGTGTGTTGGGTGTCGAGCGCGACGGGGCTAGTGCAGGCACTCCTGGATTGCCATTGGATTGGTGCAAAATCCTCGTTTCCCCCTGAACGTCGCACATAATTGCTGTCCAACTCTGTGTCGACCAATCTGAGGAGCAGTAAATAATTTCGATTTGTTGTAGTCAATTTGTAAATATAGGACAATTGTATGTATAGCAAGATTTGGAGTTTATAATAATGAGATAATATGTAGGTAAAAAAAAAGTAAAAAAAAAGAAATTAATGCAGTTGAAAAAGTATGGATGAATTGATAGTGAATTTCCGTAATTTTTTAAACGCCAGGCTTACGAGTACACTGACAAAGAAATCACATCATAATTCTATGAAGTTGAACAAACCCGAGTTGTTTGGGTTTTTTCATACCGAAAGAGTGGAAAGAGACATGTCAAGGGAATTTTCGACCACCGCGGGCATCGACAAAGACACCCCCTTGTCCCATGAAAAACGTAACCACATGAGCGCGTGGTCTCTCCCTTGTGTCCTAAAGCCACACAATGGAAGGTCGAAGAAAAAAACCTTCATAACTCACACGCGTGTCAAAATCAAAGACGCAGGCCGGAAACAATGCAAGCTGCTCGTCAGCAAAATCGATTTTCTATATTACGTACATGAGCAACACCGGTATCAAATGTTCTTGGAAAATTCGACGACGCTGGGAAAATTTCAACATCAGATAGCAAAAAATTTTCCCATTAAAAATCGATAAAATAATTTGACTCACGAGCTTTGACCGATGCTTTCGAGAGGAATCAAAGCTCAAGTCTTCCGCATAAAATCTTTATATAACAGTAAAAAAAATGTACATCTGCGAAAGTATTGAAAGAAAGCCAAAAAGTCGACGATAACGGCGTCGATCTCTGAAATCACGAGGTGCTAAAAGGGAGGAAATGAGCTTTACACGCACAGTTACGATCGGCCGATTATTATCCAAGTCTGTCGCTCGAGCCAAACAGTTTCTACGCCGTATACAGGTTGTTTACAGTCTACACGGGCATCGAGGCTGCTCGAGCTCGACTGTAAGCAGGAAATTCGATGAAATTTGGCGCGCGCTCGGAGGAGCTTTTTTTTCTCACTTCGTTCGGGCAGGCGCCATGGATCGATATTTCACTTTCGCTTGGATGCCCGATTTATCGGTCGATGATGTTCCAGGCGTTTACGAGGATTGGATTAATTATGGTGGTAAGTGCACGGTCGATTGGGCGCGCCTCGGACCCCCGTGGGTATTAAGTAATTACAAATAAATGTGTTATTTCGTCAAAATAAAATTGCAGAGTAACGAGCTGCCCGAACGATAACGAGTTCTCATCGCGATGGAAAAAAGCTCGACTCAATCTATGTTCCAGCTTAAGTACTGGGTGCTTTATGTACGACGTCCAGCTGATGACCCAACGAACTGCGTCGTTTTAAGCTTTCGCAGGCGATGGTATCCGCGGGTAATCAAGAACAAAGCTCTCTTTCATCGTCGCTTCCGAGCACGGCTCGTGTATGAATTAGAAGCCGTATACAGGCCCGGCATGCGGAGCTTGCAAATAAAGCAGACTTTGCGCGAAATCGGAGTAGCTCTATGTACATACGGGGTAGTAGCTGCTATGTACGTGTAAAATAGCTCATCATGCAGCGTCATGCCAATAAACTTTGCAATCTTCCATTAACCCAATTCCATTCTTTTGCTTCGGGCGCGCAGCACCGAAAATGTATATTCCTCCCAGCTCGTCCCTTTTTCTCTCTTTCAAAGCTCGAATCGCTCGAAGCCGACCAGCTACTACATGTATATGAATGCTACAGCAGTGCAAGCTCTCTCGCTGGCGTCGGCATTTCGAGCTCTATGGTTTCATTTTGTTTTTTTGTTCGCGCGCGAGCTTCGTGCGGACTTTTCATTCATGAAAACTAGCGCGCGGCGCAGCAGATAGTAAACAAAGCCGGAAGACGGATAGGTGCGCTTAAGCCATAAATGAGAGAAAGAGAGAAAGAGAGAGCTTGATCTGCACGTGTAGCGGCGCGGCTTATGCATGCTCGGAGAAGGCGAGAAAGCAACGGCGGCGGCGGCGGCGACTGCCCCAGACTCCCCCTCTCGGGGTAATCAATACGGTAAAAGCGCCTTTCCCTCGCCCGAGCCGTGACTACTGCCTGCGCCACCCGCGCGCGGCCCCGCTTAAATGCCGACTGTGCCTCGTCGACAAAGACTTCTGCCGTGCGTGTATACATGCAGCGTTACGTGCGTATGACGCCGCCAGCAGCAGACCGTATACACGCAGCTCGCACGCATCGCTCCTGCTGCCTGACGTACATAATACACACAGAAACTCGGGGACAACGGAGTGCTAATAGCTATCGCTGCCCACGCACACCAGCTCACACGGACGGGCCGCGTTGAACGATGATATTGCCAAGCCCGAATTTTCACGCGATCGAATTTTACAGACCTGTAACGACTGTATCAATTACACGCGGGCAATTTTTATGCCGAGCACGACTGCGTGTATTATCTTGCATTGGTCGTGTGTATGCGTTTGTTCGATTGAAATGAGCCTTTGTTTACGCGATAATTAATGCGCTTTAGTGCAGTTATGAACTTTCATCGTCGTTTCTCTTTCTTTTTTTGAAGGGAATGAAAAGGAATTAAATGCATCTAACTTTACAAATAATGATAAAAGATAAATAAAAGGTTAAACATAAAACATGAAATAAAAATATAAAATAAATATGGTATAACAAAGAGGAAACAAATACCTTAAATGGAATTTAAAAGCTCAGATAAATGCAAAGAATTTTTTTTAAAAAATCATTCATTCAGTTTAAGTTCATAATTCAATTATCTTAGAGAAATAAATGCACATTGATCTGAGTAAAGTAACTGAAAAATTTCCAATAAATACGAGAAAGCTCAAAACTTTGAAGAAAGAAACATGAACGAATAAAGCAATGATTTTCCATACCCTCGAATTGAGAGAGATCAGTCGCAAACGTCTTAGAGAGGCCAACTCGTTGCAGCAATAAGCTACACTATCGATGCTACAACGCAGGACGCAACGTCAACTTCGTCATAGTTATGTCAACACTGCTCCAAAAAAAAAGCAAAAACAACAACAACAACAACACGTAATATAGGCACGGCAGTGTATATAGCGACTGTTTGCCGGTAGCGACTGAGCCGGCTTCCGATGGCGCCCGCACACATGCGACGGCCCGACCAATCCCCCCATTGCATGAAGCACGTTCCCTTTAAGTATTCTCTACATTCGCAACCCCTCCGATGCCTATTTCACACCCTCGAATGCAGGCCTCGGGTCTCGGACTGAATTTGCGTTCGTCGAAACGATTTATCATCTGATACACGCAGCTATATACTTATAATCTTTTTTCGTCCGGTAGGCAAAGGGGAGGCGAGTTTTTATTTTGTAAAAACTTGTATGGCGTTTGAAAAATCTCGCGATATTATTTAGTGGTTAACATTGATTTCGGTCCAGTCATACGAATCATTTTAATAATAATTAAAAGTATTTACTATTAACAAGTGTAAAATCGAATTTTTTGAAACTCTCAAAGTATCTACATGAAAAACGTGTTTTAACGTACAGTCTCAAAGGCTATACGTGTACACAATTATTATTTTACACAAAATTCGAGCAGATTGTCGTAGACTTTTTACGATGCATTGTAGTCCTACCGTTTTAATAATTAACTCAATCAAGTCCTTATTTTCGGACTAATCCAGTCCATGTACTCGGACACACGAGTGAAAAGGCCGGGATAACGCGTACTCGCGCATTCCGGGTCTTTGATGGACCAGGAGACGACGCCGACAATCACGCCGTTGACGGTCAGTGGGCCTCCGGAGTCCCCCTGAAACAATCACACGAACGATTTGCCATTTGTTTTTGCATGGAAATTTTCTCGATGCATATATATGTGTATTAAGCTTACGTTGCACTGGCCTTGTCTACGTCTAGGATTGTTGGCGCAGATGTTGGTCGGGTAAACGTTGCTTCCCGTGGCCCTGATGGCCCGCGCGCAGGTATTTTGATCGGTGACCTTGATCGACACCACTTGTAGAATATCGGGTATTCGGCCATTCTACACCGAAAAGAAAATCAATTTGTTTCGTGGATCATAATGAGGTGAATTCAGGTAGAATGAGCTTGAGTACTCACAACGCTGAGTTTGCCCCAGCCCGAGAGGACGGCGTTAGCACCGCCGGGGGTCCTCTGGCGAGCCACTGGTAGAGGGACGGCCCGCACCGACTGCGAGTATGCCCATGGTTGACTTACCTAAAAAATTTGATTACGTAAGGACAAATTGCGCGTGAGCTGATTAAAGTTGACAATCAAGTACTCTTATCAAGGCGATATCGTTTCTGAACGAGTCTCTCTTGTTATATCTCTCGTGCATGATGATCCTTGTGGCCTGACGGACCTGACCCGGCCTCTTGTAGTTGATGGTTCCAGCCACGACTCGTATTTGGTTTGCTTGTTTACTGTAGATTCAAGATAAAATATTCTTAACTCTGCTTATACATAACTAAGGCGAGAAATGCCAAATTCTTACCCATCGGTGCAATGAGAAGCCGTCAGGATCCAGTAGCGAGATACGATGGCTCCACCGCAGAAGTGACTACCCCGAAGATTTTGCAGAGATACCTGTGACAAAGTTTAAAAAGTTGGTTCAAACGATAATGCACGAAAAAAGAAGTGCACAGAACTGTAGACACATATTGTGCATTTGAACTTGTTGATTTTGCAAACGTACTTGAAATGGTCTTTGGTTCGGTCTTGAATTGTACCCGTTAACGATCCTCGATTCAACTAAACAGTAACAAATATACTAAGGTCAATCGATTAATTTATGCTACAATTTTTAATTTTGATCAAAGTGTTATCGCTCGACTCTTACGTTCTATCTCATCGCTGAAAGCCACAGCTAGAATCGACAAAAAAACAATAACTCCTCTCATATTCTATTTCAGTCTATTAGTTGAGCGTAAAGTGTCGCATAATGCTCGTCGTTAATCGTACTTATATACACTCGACTCAATAATGAAAAGGCGGAAAAATAATAAATTAACTCGATAGCCTATCGCGCAATTATTTTGTTGAACTTTTGACGCGTTTCGGCTTTTTTAGCTTTTTTAGCTTCTTTCAGGAATCAATAACTGCATAATATAAGATTGTCTGGCCCATCCTTTATTCAGTTGCATTAAAATTAATTTGACGTTACATGTAAAAATCATCAAAATCCAAAAGTATGAAAAAGCTATCGTGTAAAAGTTAGTCAACTTTTTTTTTATTAGCGACAGCTTTGGGTGAGCTTTATATCGGATTATTTATTACAACCGGGAAACGTGTAATTAGCGATCGAGGAGGAAAATACTAATTGACGTACATTTTGAGTCAATAATAGCTAATAACGGAAACAATTTAATATAAATGTATGTTATATCTACTCATGCACGGTGTTTACATGTTTAATATTTTTTATTGGCAAATTAAAATTGATAAATCGATGCTGTTTAAGTCAATTTGATAGTGCAATTCAGACATACAGAAATCGGTAACTTCGCCAGGATCAAAACAGATCGCAAGTTTTAAAAAACAATGTTTTTGAGTCAACCTTTGATTATCACAAGGCTACGAAGATTGGCAATGCGTTACCTTGTGAGCAAATTCATTTATACATATTACGAGAAAGGCGGAGGAGTCTCAATGTAGACGCAGCCTCGACCCTGCCGCGCCGTGCAAATATGCAAAGGGCGAGTTGAATGGGTGCCGTGTAATATAGCAGCTATAAACATTGTTACGGGACCGGCTCGAGTTAAAATGTCTCCACGTTATGCCGCTGCCGCTATATACGTTTACATCTGTCGCTCCCTTTTTCGACCGAACTATCTCTCTCTCCTGCTGCTGCCTGTGTCTGTTGCCTCTGCGTGTATGCATATTACTCGAGCTTCCACCCTCGAGCTTGTGTCTCTTTTCCGCCCGCCAAGCCTCGGAGCGCCTCGTCTGTTTATATTTACTGCTGCTTTTTCTTGTGTAAAAGCCGCAGATTAAAATGAGAAGCCAAAAAGGGAATGCGTGTCTAGCCCAGAAAGTCTAAACGATTTTTAAACTGCGACCTTTTTTGTTACCTTTTTCGAATTACAAATACTCTAGCGAACATACGTGCGATTCAATCTAATTATTCGGTAATTACATTTTTATTCCTACTCTTACTCTTAGATCTTTCTCAGAGCCCTTAATGCACCATTTTCAATTCCCAATTTATTCGTAATAATTTATCATTGATTGAAAAATAATTATTTTTCATAAGACAACGGATAAATAAAGACATTCGTATTAAAAATCCAACTCAGAATCCATATGAATGGGATGCGTAATAGTATCACGTATGCAAATGTTGTACGAAGAACGACTTTTCCATACTGAGTTGGTCTTTAATGTCATGTCAACGCTACGCATATTCGTATACTGCCGAAGCGTGACTCAAAACTTCTCATTGATAATGATATGACGGGGTTCTCCATTTTTTCTGTAGCGTATTTCGTATAAATCGTAAAATGATTGGTGTTGAGTGAAATAACTATTTAAAAAATAAAACACAAGTATGAAGATTAGTTTGAAGAATGATTCAACAAATCAATGGAAATGGTCATCTAATTGCAGTGGGCTTAAAACTTCTTTATATAATTTTTGAATAAATAGTGGATATTATTCTTCAACACAATCTTCATAAGAGTTAAGAAAGTAGACTTCCTATATGTTTAGCTCAATCATTGATTTCATTTTTCATTTTTTTGCGTGATGTATCATTTAATTTAATAATGAATTCATTTTGTCAATCACACATCACATTATGATAATGAGTCGATTAAAATCGATGTAATTATCCGTTAATGATCCACGAATATTAAAGAAATGTTAGGACTTAGATCGAAGGAAGGGTAACATAAATTTTACAAGATAGTGAATTATTTTATATAAAAAATGTTTATTAAAAAATAATTTCTCATTCTTAAAGACTAAAGTTTGAATTATCTAAACGCTAATTTAGAAGTTCGAGCTCTCAAGAAGAAAACTTAAGCTACTGGAGCGACTGGGAGATGGGCACCGGTTGCGCGGTATCCGTTCTCGTCGGCGACGTAGCTGATGGTGTAGGTGACACCGTCGTCACCGACGTAGCTGTAGGATCCGCTGACGCGGTTGGCAGCCTGTTCTGGTCCGTAAACTTGGATGCGAGAGTCTTCTTGGCGGCTCTGGCCGTCGCTGAGTTCGTAGGCGAAGTTGTAGCCCTCGAGACCGATGTTGTTGTTGGGTGTCTCACGGACGAGGACAACATTGTTGTTGTGTTGGTTGACCTGGTGGTAGGTCTGCTGCTGGGGCTGCTGACGATTGCCGGAAAAGTCCGAGACGATGATGGGTTGGAATTGGCGTTGTTGGGGCAACAGACCGGCCGAAGCGACGGCGACCAAAGCGGCGAGTACGACGAACTGCACATTTATCACAAATTAGTTTGATTAATTCATGCCCTATATGTACTATGTATGTTTTTCAACTCGTAGGAATTGTTAATTGCGAATTCTAATTTCAAGTTTAGTGACTTACCGATTTCATTTTGGATTGGTGGGTTTGAGGTCGAAACCAGAGGAGATGATCCAAGAGGCTAAGAAGTCGAAGACTGACTGTGCCTTTTTGCTCGGTTCCTTGCCTATTTATACCAAAAATTTGCCGGACTCGATATACTCTCTCGTCTTTGTTGCTCCCGTGTGTAGCGGTGGATGGCTCATCAGCCAAATTACCTGTATACTGGCCCGAGGCGAGGTAACGAGAGCTAGCCTCGCGTACATCGCAGCTTCTGCTGAAATGTTGTGTAATTTGAATTATATATATCCGTGCATAATTGGAAAGAAGGCAGCTTCTGTCGAGAGCTTTGTTTTTAGCCGACAACATCATCTGCATTTTCGCGCAATTTCGCTTTCATTAATAAGCTTTATTTTTAAAAATATGGATTTGGTTTTGAAATCAAAGTGACTTTCGCTTTGCGAATTTTGATAGTAATATCGCAAGGTCGTATGGTCTTCAGTGAAATTGGAATCCAATTTCGGCTGTTAAAATTTTTTAATTTTGGACGAGTTCAATAATAAATGAAGAAAAATAAATTAAAAAATGAAATATTCGCCAAAAATTGTTGATAATTCTAATGTCCGCATATGAATTTAAAATATTTGATTCATACTCGTGCTTCTTAGTGTAGATTATGAAAATCATGTAAATAAATTATTAAAGTATCAATTAAAAATTTTTTTCTTCCTTTTTGTACAAATTGCTATCAAATCATTGAGAAAAATATTTCGCCTATAATTTAATTTACAAATATGATTTATTAATAATAAAATAAATAAACCGATCAAGGTAGTAAATTATAATCCATCGAGTTTAGTTGCTATTAATTTGTTTAATTAAATATAATGTAAGTATCTCTATTCTTGGTGGTTTTCAGTATCTAAAGCATAAATTATGATTTCCGAGACGAACAAGTTTGTAAGTTTGAACGAATCGGCTAAATAACTTGTTCGCACGGTATAATATTTTTGAGCGAGATTTCGAAATCAGTTTTTTTTTCTGCTACGCATAAAGCAGTGGCTGGTAACTATTATCATAGTATTTAAATCAATTGGAGTAGTCAAATACCCAAACAGGTCTTGCGAATATTTTGTATTAGAAATTAGACAAAAAGATAATCGCACGAAATTCGAAAAATAAATCGCCTGATGAACTTCAATAGTAGGAGTAGAAGTCGGTACATTGACCGCTAATCAGAAGATTCTCGAAGGTATTGTAACTGAATAATTATAAGAAGATGATAATAATGAAAAAAATTCAGCATTAATCTGGAAAACATAAAAAGATACATTTTTCATTAAATTGAAACTTTTTTAAAAAATAGGAACAAGGAAAAAATTAATTTAAAAATAAATTTTGCTTTTGAAAACGTTAATTTTAAAGTAAAAACACGAAGAAACTATTGAAGGATAATAATATAAAGAAGAGTTTTCACTGTGTTTCTAAGCAAACTCCTTGCAAAGAGAGTGACATATATTTCCGAATTTATAAAGACGAATTGTAATCCCTTAGGTTTTTCTCATCTTCTTTGCATGGTTTTTATAGATAATTACCATGCGTAACGGGGTACTAATTATAAAAAGTAATAAAAAAGTTTCAATAAATAAAAACTATGTAAAAAAAGTGTAACGAACAAAATAAAATGTATTTATAAACTTGCAGATAAAAAGAAAGAAATCATTATGTTAATTATATGCGTTGTTCTCAGCGAGCACGTGATCGTTACACAATTCTGTCATTAATATTTGGGGACCTTAGGTGTCAGAAGTTGGTAAATAAATCATCGCTCATGTCAGTACTGCGTAGGCGATTTGTCTATATAATCAGTTTAGCTCAGGTCGAGTTGACATTTTTTTTAGTCATAAGTATACGGCTATTTATATTAATCGATGGGGATTGAATTACTCGCCTCATTGACGTATAAAACATTTACTACTCTTTTTGTTGATAACTTAAACAGTAAAAATGGTTTCCCTATCTTTTAGATACTATTCAAAAATTTATAAGGTAAAATGGTGACTGCAAGTTCAAGTAAGTGAAAAAATTAGTGAGGTCACTCGTCGAAATCCTTTAAGCGTGTTCGAGTTTAATTCAACAATTGTGAAATGTTGCATTAGAATCGTTGAATTTCAGAGTCCAGCGTATAAGGTCGCAAAATCAAAAGCTAAAAGAAACTTCGATCGAACTGGAAAAGCCTGAACGAACTGTCGCGAAACACAAATACGATCGATCCCGAGATGAGGTCTCAACTTATGAATGAAAGTTTGTTTCAACAGTTTGTTTTAATTTTTACCTCTAAGTTTGACGAGAAGTATCGATGTCGTCATTTCAAATGCCATTAATCATCAAATATAGAAGTTCATGATTCAAATCTATGGGGTCAAATGAAAAATGTGCAAAAGTACTAAAAAATAAGAAATATCAAGCGTAATCGCGTCGTTCACGAAAAAAATATGCTCACTTTATATCTATTCATGTAAAAAATCGTACGTACTTCACCCATTTTTGAACCCATTAAACACTATTTTTGCGATAAAATTAAAAATTCTTCGCGGAAAAAAATATATTTTTGTACAAATCAAAAGGTGAATCGTCATGTTTTAAAACGAAGTAAAAAATACCATGAATACTTGATCTTTTTTGAGCTCGCTTTCCTTATAACTACTAAAAATCGATGAAAATTTTATATTTATACAATAATACAATATTGAACAATTTGAAAAATAACAAGCTCATTTGAAATTTCGTATCATAATGATGAAAACAGCTTTTTGTACTTTGATATTCTTTTATACGCGTCGTACAAAAAAAACTTTCTCGGTTACAGGTCTAAAAATAATAATTATCAGGTAATTATTTGTACCATTCAACTTTTACGTTATAAAATAATTCAATTTCAATCCAAAAACACGTGAATGCGGTCGCTCGTTCTACCTTATCGACCCAGACAGCATCGAGGGATTTAAATTATGTATCTATACTTTAAAAAAGTATGGTCATATAGATACACTTTAAAATAATAGTATAGATAATATTATAGTAATGATACTACTTCCAACAATTTTTCTTTCAAAACCATAAGAAATTTTTTGGAAACTCTAAAAGGTCAGTCAAAATTGTACTAAATTTATTAATTTTTTTTTCTTTGAAGTTTGAGCCAACTTTTTCGAATGTTCTTTTACTCAGTGGAGCTATATTTCATGTAAGTATGATTCAATGAAGTATTTCCTATTTTTCTTTCAAGCACGTAAATGCAACTATCCAATTTTAATGTGTGTTGCTAAGTTTTGCCACCTCGTGGCTGAATCGCTGGTGTCGTCATATCGTCTGCATTCTCAACCTGTGCTGTGACACACGTGTTTTGAGTACAAAACTTTTTCAAAACACCGTATTATTGTATTTTCAGTACTTTTAAGTGACGTTTAAAATTAATATAAATCAACTTTCAAAGTTCGATTGAAAATAATCAAAATGGCAAAGGCTCGTTCAAGTGAGTAATCATTCACAAATAATAGAGTTAAATCATTGGTTTGTTCAATGTCTTCATTTTCACAATTCAAATAATCCAAATATTATAATTTGTTATAGAAAAACCAAATAAAGGAAACCATGGCAAACCAAAAAATGACAAAAAAAATCATTTGGATGAAAGTAGCATAAAGATTAAAAAAAGAAGAAGTGACTCTAGTAAGTAGCAAGTTTATTGTGAATTAATTAATTAACCTAAATGTATTTGTTTGGAACTCAATATCTTTATTACTTGTTTCAGGAAAAAAACAAGGCATAATGATGGTGCCAAATTCTTCTGGTGATATTCTGGATAGAATTCAGGAAGCACCTATGGACATGTCTTCAATAGCAGGAAAAAGGTTGAAACATACTAAATCCTTCATGAAAGAATTTAAAAAAGTTCTTGAAGAAGCAGACGTAGTGTTAGAAGTAGTTGATGCTAGAGATCCTCTTGGAACTCGATGTTCCCAAGTGCAAGAAACAGTTGCGCAAATGAATAAGCGACTTGTTCTCGTTATAAATAAAGCAGACTTAATTTCTCGTGAAAATTTAGCCAGCTGGTTGAAATATTTTAAAAGAAGTATTCCAGCTGTACCCTTCAAGAGTTCTACTCAGAGTCAGTCAAAAAAACTTGGTCGGAAAAAACTTAGTAATATGAATCAAGAGATTTTACAAAATAGCGCTTGTTTTGGAGCAGAATTACTTATGCATTTACTTGGAAATTACTGTCGCAATGCTGGAAATACTAAAGGAAGTATTCATGTTGGTGTTGTTGGTCTGCCCAATGTTGGAAAATCTAGCGTGATAAATTCACTCAAAAGAAGTAAAGCTTGCAGTACTGGAAATACTCCTGGTAATATATTGTTATATTTTATTTTATTTGATTTTGAATTTTAATTATGTCTTACAGAATAATTTCAATAACCCCTATTTATTTTCAGGAGTTACAAAAGCAATGCAAATTGTTCAGCTCGACTCAAAAATAAAATTATTGGATTGTCCTGGAATAGTCTTTGAGAACAATGACCCCAATAATGCAAATGTTGCATTGAAAAATGCAGTAAAAATAGAAACTTTGGATGATCCAATTACCCCTGCTACTGTTGTATTACAAAAAGTACCTATGTCTCAATTGGCAGAACTATATAATATTAATGAATTCAAAAGCCCAGAAGAATTTTTTGCTAAAAAGGCTATGAAAATGGGTAAATTAAAGAAGGGCGGTATTCCTGACATAGAAGCTGCAGCTCGCAGTATTCTGACAGATTGGAATGCAGGTAAAATCAAGTATTGTTCTATACCTCCTGAAGAAAAAGACTCTCAAATATCAGCTTCAATTCTGACTACATCCAAAGAAGAGTTCAATATTGATATGTTTGAGGCTAGTGAAAAAATGGTGTTAGACAGCATATCAGGGACAGGCAGTAATGAAATGGATACATTGTAGTTTAGTATCTTAATAAAAATGTGGTTAAATTTCATTATTTTTCTGAATATAATCTTGTATTAAGTGAAAATATTTTTGTAAATAAAATAATTTATTCAGTACTTGTTTGGTCAACACCCATATTAATTGCTGTTACATTAAACTAAATAATTTGCATCCTCTGTTTTGATATCTTCTAGTTTTCAAATTACATTCATAGAAACCATTTTAATTCAAGTAAAATGTTTGCAGAAATATATAAAATATCTGCGATATTTGATTTGAACCTTTGGAAGAATGTAATCTATATCACTAAATTCATGACAACAATGAATGTCACTCAAGTTTTCAATCTTTACTTATTTTGATCCGTCCCGCCACCATCGCCAATGATGCGCGAACGAGTCGAGAGTCGAAAATTTGAGCGCGCAAACGATAGATCGCGGCGCAGCAACGACCATTGAGTTGCTTCTATTGCAATCGCGGCCAAGTTCGAGTATATTACCGACCGACACACAGACTGCAGGCGAGCTAATGTACTACTGCTAGACTTGCGCGATTTATCAGGTCGTCGAACGAAACTCGCTTGGGGCTATCGCGCGCTCAGGTGCTGTACATCGCCAGTGACAGAAGGTTCCTGGTACTTTTTTTCAACGAGCATAATCACGACGAGCTGCCCGCCGGCAGTACCGCCCATAACTCCTCGAAATGCAAGCCAACTTGGTGAATCTTATGGCCGTGTCTATGAGGGTGAGTACACTCGATCGCTGCACTCTGCTCTTTCTCGAATCTCGGAAATTTAGCCTGAGTGTCACTGGCTTTCGTTTAATTTCCCGTATGAGCCACGTCGCGCGTCATATCGTTAGTTAATGCAATACCAGCTCTCTCTATCAAATTTTTATAATGACATTGGGCTAAGCTAATGTCATCCAAATGAGTAATTGGAAAGAGATGTGTGTCATTCTGCAACTGGGCTCCCTTTGCTCGAGCATTGGTTATGTTATGTCACTTTTTTTGGAACATATACTTACCTACACAGAATAGGCGTCTGCTAATGTTCTCGCGTGACACAAGACCTTGACGATTTTATCTCGCTCTCTCATGCCTCACACTACGCTCAGTTGATATTTTTACCTATTTATCAGTTTTACCAATGTTGTCATTTTTCAAACAGAGTATATTAATATGTATTTACTTGAGCTGAATTTAAATGAACAAATTTTTAAAACTCTTTCACAACTTGCACACAATGTGCACTGTCCCATATTGCTATACAACAATCATCCTAATTTATCATAACAATAGAGATTCCTGAAATATCTTTCCCTTGAGGTTAATGAATTACTTAATAAACCATCACCACTCAAGAATGTCTTTTTAAAGTATTTTCATTATTACAGCCAATATGTATGAAACGGGCCGCAAATCCCATTCTAGCAGCTATGCAGCAGCGGAGATATGCTAGCACACTTGATGCTGACATTGTTGTGATTGGCTCTGGCCCTGGTGGCTATGTAGCCTCTATCAAAGCTGCTCAATTAGGTATGAAAACAGTTTGTGTTGAGAAGGATCCAACTTTGGGAGGAACTTGTCTAAATGTAGGATGTATTCCATCAAAGTCCCTTTTAAACAACTCACATTATTATCATATGGCACACAGTGGAGATTTGGATGACAGAGGAATCAAAGGTATTTGAGTTGATTAAATTTTTAATTTATTATCGTGCATCTAATTTTTATACTACTACAATATACTTAAAATTGTACAGTTTCTGGAGTAACTCTTGACTTGCCCAAACTTATGCAACAAAAGACAAATGTTGTAAAAGCTCTGACTGGAGGAATTGCTGGATTATTCAAAAAGAACAAAATAGAATTAGTTACTGGTCATGGAAAAATTACTGGAAAAAATCAAGTCACAGCATTAGGTCCAGATGGTTCAACAGTAGCTACAATCAATACTAAAAACATTCTTATCGCTACTGGCAGTGAAGTTACACCATTTCAAGGAGTTCCAGTTGATGAGAAACAAATTGTTTCTTCTACTGGAGCACTTTCTCTTGCAGAAGTTCCAAAGAAAATGATTGTCATTGGTGCTGGTGTGATTGGTCTGGAATTGGGATCTGTATGGCAAAGGTAAATGATACAATCCAATTTTTTTAATTCTATATAAATTTAGTTTTATCAAAATGTATTTATTCAAGAATTTAAATCTTTCAGGTTAGGCTCTGATGTTACGCTGGTTGAATTTATGCCTGCCATTGGTGGAGTGGGCATAGATGCTGAAGTAAGTAAAACCATGCAGAAAATCATGACCAAACAAGGTCTCAAATTCAAGTTGGGAACTAAAGTAACAGCAGCTGCTAAAACCAATGGCGATATTCAAGTAGCTCTTGAAGATGCTAAAGACCCTAGCAAGAAGGAAAATGTAAGCTGCAATGTTCTTTTAGTATGCATCGGTAGAAGACCATACACCCAAAATCTTGGTTTAGAAGAAATAGGAATCGAAAGGGACGAAAAAGGAAGAATTCCAGTCAACAGCCGATTCCAAACTGTTATCCCAAGGTTTGTAGAATTTCATACATATTGAATTCAACAAAGAAATTTTAGGATAATTATTTTACTCAGATATTAAATTCTAATATAAAAATATAATTTAATTCTAGTATCTATGCTATTGGAGATTGTATTCATGGACCTATGTTGGCACACAAAGCAGAAGATGAAGGTATCATAACTGTTGAAGGCATTGCAGGAGGTAATAAAAAATATTCTTTATATTTCTATTAGACCTTATGCAAAATGCAAAAATTCTAAAATCTATTTTTAAAGGTGCTGTACACATTGACTACAACTGCGTACCAAGTGTAATTTACACCCACCCAGAAGTAGCTTGGGTTGGAAAATCAGAGGAAGACTTGAAGAAGGAAGGAATTGACTACAAAGTTGGTAAATTCCCCTTCATGGCCAATTCAAGAGCAAAGACGAATTTGGAAACCGACGGTTTCGCTAAAGTCTTAGCTGACAAAAACACCGATAAAATTCTTGGTGTTCATATGATTGGACCAGCCGCTGGCGAACTTATCAACGAGGCAGTTCTTGCTATGGAATATGGTGCAAGTGCTGAGGATGTTGCACGAGTTTGTCACGCTCACCCGGTAGGTTTTCATTCATTTACATTCAAACGTAAAAATTGAAATTATTTTCATAATAAACCGTTCAATACTAATAATATCTTTTAAAAATTATACAGACTTGCGCTGAAGCATTGAGAGAAGCACACTTGTCGGCGTACTGCGGCAAACCAATTAATTTCTAAGATATTCCATCTCAACTTGTGAGCACGCCATAAATCTCAGGCTAACGATGCGGCTTTGTTATCTAGTTTGCATTGTGAAGCGCTGAAATTTGAGATTAACTAAGTTGAAGTTCAATCATCTATGTTGATCGCAACTTCAGAAATTTACTACGAACGAGACTCAATGGGAAATCATCAAAACCAAACTAGATACTTTGTAAATAAGATATTTAAATCTATGACACACAACTTAAAGAACGCTTGTTTCTCAAACGGGTTTATTGTCAAATGAGCCTGACATTTCTTGAGAATAAATCGTTAGGTACCACGTCTTGAAGACGTGCAAACTGTAAAACGTTGAAATCAAGTTTCTTGACGATCCTCTCCATAATGAAACTGATTCTCTAACATGGATAATTCATTGTTTTTAGTTCATGGCGTTCGATCTCGTTCGATATGCATTTTTAATTCAAATATCATTATTCAATGTCCATTATATTTGCTTTCGATTATTGTTATGCAAAAATTTAGAGCACTCATTTCAGTTCCAATTGAACAAATTAATGCTTTAATGTAAATGTTACTAAAAATAAAGTCATACATTCATGTAGAATCAAATTCATGTACTAGCATTAATTCACGCTGTGAGAGAAAATGGGCACTGTAATACAGAAGCACTGAAAAGTACTATGTAGATATTATTAAAGAAACTCACCGTTATAAAAATTTGTGTTTATGGTTAGCGAGTATCAATCGGTACTCAATCTAGTGGTAAAGAATAAATTTGTTAATTACACAAATATTCCACGTTGTTTGCATGATATTCCGAAATTATTATTTTCTTTCGTCCAAATTTTACTTTTGGCTCAATTTATCGCAACGAGTCTTAAATCACGAAGTGTTCTCTATTACAATAAATAATTTTTTTTATATATCAGTCCTCCGTAAGTGCACATCCCTTGTATTCATATATAATTTAAAAATTATGAATTATCTTTTGAATTTGAATCGCTGTTGAATCCTTTTGAAAATTTCGTTTAACATAATATACGAGTCTTTGCACACGTTTGAGCTCACGTTCCAGTGCTATTAAATTATCAGAAAAATTATTGGGAGCTACGAAATACAAAGAGCGAGCCCCAAAAGCATATTATACTTGCAAGTTCGATGCTTTTGCGTAGTTGGCAGGATCGCGCACATATACAGGCAGTTTATTAGCAATACATGCACGATAGTTGTCGTCTCTCTCTCTCTCTCAGTCTTTTTCTCCCCCTTCTGCGTAGCGCGCAGGCGCTCGCCGGTGGAGAGAAAGTCTGCACACTGTGCGAATACATTCGGCGAAGAACTAATGTGTATATGTGTATATATGCAAGCGGCAGCGGCGAGCAAAGGCCAGCCGAAGCGAAACCCGGCAGCCGAGCGAGCGAGCAGATCCCCGGCAAACAACGCCGGGACGACGCGTGTGTCGCGACTCGAGCTCTCGTGTCGTCGTCGTCGTCGTCGCGTGCGCTCGGCGAGAGACTCGGCCGCGTTTATATACACGTTATATTATTCGACGGCGACAGCCAACAACAAAAAAAGACACGATCGAACGAGACAAATAGAAATTCAACAACATCGGCTGCTGCTCCATATTATTATAAATATTTACTCGAATTGCGCGCACGCACAGACCGACGACCCGATGCCTGCGTAATCGCGAGACGAGTTGTTACTTTCGCGCTCGCCGTCGTATACGTTTGGGAGCAAAGTAAATAGAGGCGATCAGCTTGAGAGAGGCTCGTTTGTGTATCGTATAATAGCAGCATTACAACAAGTAGGAAATAATTCGTATACAGGAGATAGAGTCGAGAGATCGCCACAGGATGGTCTTATAGGGTGCAGTGCGCGCTTACGCCCGTGTTTTTCAAGTGCATTGGAATAAAGTAAACGAGTGCATCGCGCAGTGTGCGGTTCGTCTCCCGCCTATACGCATCGATTAAATGCGAAAGAAGAAAAAAGTATAATTCCACGTGAATCGGCGAGCGCGTGTGCTTTATACCGGAAAATATCGTACGTGATACAATATACACGAGTGTAGATCGACGAGAGAAGAGTCGAGAGAAATTTCGCAGTGGTGCCTTGTGCCTGTGCTTCTCGTTGCGTTTTCCTGACAGATTTATCATTTTTCGTGTACGGTGCTGTGTGTTTATGAGCCGTGTGCGTTTTGTGCCGACGATATCTCAGTGTGTATGAGCTCGGTGCGTTCGCGTACACCGACATATTCGCAGGCCGCTGCTCGCTTGCGATGTATAAATAAATATCTAATAAGCAGTGAGCGAGCGAGCGAGCGGGAGTTCGCTGTGCAAGTAGTGCGTCGCTGCGTGTGCTGGAGTCACACAGCCTGCGTAGTCTCGGAGTAGTTATACACGTATCAGACACGCAGTCCAGCTTCTTTGCCGGCAATCAAAATGATGTGGACCACTACGAGAACGACCAAGTACGCCGTCGGTGAGTGTCGCGATGATATTTACACGAGTCTGGTTTGTCCTCCTGTTTGTCCCGTTAGCGTCGAAAGCTCACCCCATAGACTCGTCGCGAGCTTATGCTCTCTCTCTTTCGATAACAGTACGCCCATTGAAGGGCCGGCTCGGTTTAATCCGCTGCCTTTGGCGTCGAGTAAGCTGCGGCATTAAATCGCCGGCAGCAGCTCTGGCCGCATTCACTACTTGTACTCGAGGAATAGAGCCGCACAATGAGTCGTGCGCCAGAGCTTGCGACACGAGCTATGCCCGTGAATACGTCAAAGGCACGTCTCTGTGTGCCCCGTGGCCGCCGCCGCTGCTGCGCGTTTAGCGTGTATTACGATGAAAAGCTCGTCGTGTCCGCAGAGTCGCCGCTGCGCAATATTATACATACAGAGCGCCTCAAGAGAGCAGCGTCATTCATATACGCGCGAGACGAGTATAAGCTGTATGTGTATTCGGCTGGGGCATTTGTATAGCCGGCGCGTCTCACATGTATTCGCTCTTTTTTTAAATTATTTTTCGATAGGAACACCGAGCTGACCAAAAAAGCCTACGCGGCTTCTCGAGCTTTTTTCAAATCTTTTCCTCTCTCTCTCTCTCTTTCGAATGGCAAGCACGCGGCAGGCAGTCCAGCTCTCGGATGAACTCGTGTCGACGCTCGTTATTTGCATTTAATTGGACAGGTTGTGTGTGTTTAATCGGTCGGTCGGCAAAAAAGTTGCGCCGAGCAGTAGCGAGAGAGCCGCCTCGTTAATTCGCCATCCCGCTGCTCTCTGCTCTGCTCCGCATCAGCGAAGTAGGCCCATGGTTCGCACGAGATAAACCGCGACGACGACTGCCGTATATTCCCCATACGTAGCGGCGTTTTTGCAGCGGTAGCAGTTTCTCTCTAAGCCCACTGGCATTTAGTTCAGTCGGCCTGTCGAGACTCTTTGTTTTGTTTTTCTTATTCGCTGTCATTGTTGGCCGCAGCAGTAGCTACAGCAGCAGTAGTGTATATAACGCAGCTGACGAGCGAGAGAGCGCAGTGCGCTTAAACCACGTGCCACCGAGCAGCAGCAGCAATAGCAGCAGTGCAGCAGTGGTACATATAACGGTGCTTTGCAACAGCTCTCCGATGATTATTTATTTCTTTGCGCCGATGCGTTTCCGCGAATACAAAATATTTATGTACATCTGTGCGGAGCTCGGCCGACTCTTCCGCGATAAAGTTCATACGAATACGTGTATAAAAGTGCCTCGACTGCAATTCATATCGATATATACGCGAGCGAACGGTCTACACACATTTCTATGCATTACGGGCGCGTTATCTCGCTGAACTTTGGCGCGGATAACAATTGACTGGAGGGGCTCTCTCTCCTATATACGTACTATAGGCTCTCGCTCGTCGCCGTTGTCGGGGCACTGCTGCACACGGAGCATCGATCTGCAGCCGCGATACACAAAGCTCGGCGAGTCGGAGGATTCCTCGCTCGCGCAACTTTGTATATTCATACGTTCGCGTCGTTGATTCCGAGGCTGCGATTATTTCGCTCGTGACGAGAGCGAAAAAGAGAGAAAGAGAGCGAGGAAAAAGTCGTGCTGTGCGGCGTGTGCAGGTGCGCTTGGAGGGAAAATCGATGCCGCTGCCTGCCTGCCTGCCTGCCTGCCAGCCAGCTCGGAAGGGCGTAGTAGCATTGTGTCGTAACGCGTATAGCATACACGGCGGAGTGCCGGCAAGGTTACAGCTCGTTTGCCGTCCTGCGAATTGTCCGCCGCTGCTACAAGCCATGGCTTTAGCTTGCGGCATGACCCAGCGGCGTCTATATCTGTATATCGGAGGGCGCGTGCGTCCCTCGTGCTCCCGCACAAGTCACCGAGTCCGCCATGTATAATGCACGCAATAAATTCAGTCCACCCACGCACTCGTCTGCTGCGCGAGATCAGTTTATGTACGCGGCCCGGCCCATTCATAAGTGTATTCGGCATCGACCGTTGTATACATTACAGCGTCTTGACGACGAGCTTCGAGAGTCATGACGACAAACGTTTAGTTACGCGTCGTATCCGAGGAGAGACTCTTCTTCTTAACCCTGCGCTCGTTGTATAATACGCGACTTTATTACACACTCCCCGCAATTGTTTTTAATTACTTGGCTGCCACGAGTGTATAAGAGAGTAGTCAGTGGTGGTGGTGGTGGTCGTAAGACGAGCTCGTTTGCGCGTTTCGCTTTTGGAAGCCCTTGACGATTCCCTTTGCTCGGCTCCTTTCCCAGAGCAGCGCTTTCTCCGCTGCTACTGCTCGTTCTCGTTGTGTATAGTCATTTCCTGCGTCAAGATCGACGCCGCAGACATTTAACTTTGCTATATACACTCCGATGTTTGGGCTCTGTCTGTGCGCGAGACTCGACTCTGTTATCCGCAGCTTCGATATGTAATTGTGTGAGTAAAAAGCTCCAATTCGGTAGACGCTTTCGGAAGGAATTATGTTTTTTTTACAAAGATCGATGATTAGTAACTCAATTATTCAGTTCACTGTATCGAAGTTGTAAATTCTTACTCGATGATTGACAAATCCAAATATTTGTTTCTTTGCGTATTCTCAGTCAGGCAGACCCAGCAGTTTGAACTTTAACGGTTGTTTATTCTCACTCTCCTATAGCCGCGAGATACTTGTATTTAAACAGCCAATTCGGTGGCAACTCTTGACTCCATTGTTGGCGATCGAGCCTACACCAAAAGATGGGTCCTGCTGATTAAGCTCTCTCTCTTTCTCTCTCTCTCTCTCTCTCTTCGCTTTAATAGTCGAGCTCGTCGTCCCAACTCGCCCTCGCTGTTACGGGCCGACTATATAATAGGTCGTGACGCGATGCCCATGCACACGCGAAAGTATCGTTGAACTCGTATAATATGCACGTGTTCCTCTAAAGACAGAAGAGAGCTGCACTATTTATATTATACGGGAGCACGTAACAGCCCTAAACGTGCATGCGGCTGAGCTGCTGATTACTTCGGACGTTGCCTTGGAAGATAAACTCAATTTATGTGCCACGCTGCAGCAGCTTTGCATTTTCTTTGAAAAAAATACACTGCCAAGTAAAAGCAAGCCTGTCGCAGCAAGCTTTCAAATTGATAAACGGTGCAGAGTCGATAGACGCTCAAAACGAGAGGTATCGAGGGAACTAAATAATTTTTCACGTCTTTTCCAAGTCAAAGGACTCGTCGAGCACTTTCGGTATTTCTCGAGCGAATCGCGCGAGCATTTAAATTTGATCCAAACGAGCTGCGAGTTGATTGTTGTCGTCCCCCCTTGACGAAAAGTGCATCTCCTCGTCTGTCAACGACTATATTACGCCTATACCTATACATATAGTCATTGGACTCTGGCGCATTGTCGTCGTTCAAGAGATCCCATGCACGCACATACACGCGCGGCACAGTCACATATATCTGGATCGCAGGCATCAGTACAACGGCATCAGCTCCCGCAGTTTATAGTACGCGAGTTTCTTTTTCGCTTCGACAATTGCTCCGCATTTATACGGCATACGTATATATGTATTCTTTGAGAAAATTGAGCGATGCAGAAGGAGGCATATCGGTATAATGCTTACGCGCGTCCTATACGTGTATGTGTGCGCACAATGCGGAAACCGAGAAGCGCGTGAAACGGGAACGTCCAAGAGGCAGTTGCGAGAATTTTGTTTCGCTCGAGCAGCTGCTGCTGCTGTTGCAACTTTGGTAAAGGCTCGCGAGTCAATATATATAGACCCGGTACTGGCATGTAAAACAAACGAAATGCTTTTTCCACGCCGTGAGCGAGCTAACAGCACGTAGCTCTATATCGTATATGCGCTTGGGTGTAGAAAACAGTGCGAGTCTGACGGGTCCAGCTCGATTCTGGAGAGTCGCGACTGCGGCCGATGATCGGTTCGATCGCGGGCCTCGACGACATTCTTTTCATTGCTCATTCCCAATGCGGCTTTCTCGAGCTTCGAAAATTTCGCGCGGTCAGTTGCTGGCTCGTCGAGCGATCGTAAACACAAACGAAAATAGCAATTTGTGGGGAATTTCTAAATTTCTTCCGCGCCGAAACACTCGAAAATAATCGACGAAAGAGCATGAGCGCGCCAAGCAACGGTATATACACACGCTTTCGGACACGCTCGATCGATTGCATAAGCCAAAGAGCTTGGCGGTACTTACACGCGTTCATGGCCGCCGCAGCTTTTATCAGCTAAGCCAGTCACATAAGATCGCACTGGCAGTAATAATAAATGGAATTCGCGCGCGTCAACGGATGTATTTATGCGCCAGCAGCAGCCTAACTTGCAACCCATGACTTGTGCTATTGAATTCGCTCTTGCGCCTCTTTATAATCTTCCGTTTTTGGCTTGCGTTTGTTGGTATATGGCATAATTGTTATTGTTTTTTATTGATATTTTTTCCGCGTTTCATTCATTCTTCATCGAGGAGCGTGCCTCGCGCTCCAAATGACATTAATTTCAATTTAAAATAACTAACAACGTCTGCAGCTAATAAAATTTCAGGTCATTTTAGCATGAAGAAACTTGTTTGAAATGAAACTTTATTATTTCTAAAAATGGATATTAATGACACCACTAAAATCATTAATAAAAATCAATACGCAAGATTCGATTCAAATTTGCTCCAAAAAAGCTCGACTTTAATGCTTTCGTTCAATAACGAGAAGCTCAATGAAAACACGATGATTCGTCGACAATCGATTTCCAATTATATAACTGCAACGCCCAAGATGAATCGTAAAATTGTCGAGTGCCAAAGAATCGCGGATGTTGTGACACGATGCCATTACATTCATCAGCTTTGCATTTACGCGTCCAGAAGAGGCAGGCAGGCAGGCGGTAGCTGCGCGGCGCATCGAGTATATATATCTCGAGCCGAAGGTTCAATACATCGGCTCAAAAGAAATGTAATATTGAAGTAACGCGCCGCGTGCTATATAGCAACAGCTGCCTT